GCAGAGCGTATATCTCAAGGAAGAGGTTTTACTTTGCTTGTTCCATCAGTTCAGGAGTAGAAGATGTATGTGTGTGAAGGTGCACTTTTGTCTCTCATTGTGCTGTCTTTGCCTCTCACGGCACCACGTGTTGTGCTGAAGTTCAGTGATGTTTCAGAATGTGAGCAGTTTTTTTTGGATCAAACACCACCAGAGATATCTGGCATTCTTGTAGGAGGAAATGTTCAAGATCAGAATCGTTATAAAGTAATATGCCAATTTTTCAATAACGCATACAGGTTCGCTATGCTCTACGATACAAGCAACAGGATCCCTGTGTTTTCTGCTTATAAATTCACTGGGAAAATAAAAAACAAAAGACCCAAGAAATGGTATATTGAGCCACAGGTAATTTTAATATATTTGAAATGTCTGAAGAGTGATCTATCCTGTTGCATGTATTTCTGTGCAAAATTTCATTGTTTGCTATCAAAAGCAATGTATCATTTAAAGGAAAGATTTTTTTTGCAGTTTTTCTCGATTGCTTTGGCATATTTCATGAAACATGCTTAACATTCTCAATACTATAAGTGCATTTCTCAAAACAGTTCATGCATATAGTACAACACTATGATTTAGCTGTAAGAGCCTGTAACTTACCCAAAATGATTAACTCACGTCTCAAAAGAAATGAATTAGCCAGTGCCACCAAAATGAGAAGTACAATCAGCATAGTTTAAATCCTGAGTGAAAATGCTTAGATATATTTTCAGTATGTCAGTGTAAATATGTTCCTGAGCTCCACAATTCAGAATTAAAGTCGGTTCCCACTTTCTCATCGTTATTCACTGATCATTTTTCATTTGCAAACTGATACTTATGTCAAAGACACCCGTTTCAACATTGCAAGGCTCCACATTACAGTATGTAAAGTTCACTGGCAAAAAGCATTTGCATGCACATGTACGTTCTTCAGATCTGAAGACACAATAGCAAACAAAAAAGTCACACAGCACTATATAACATGAAGACAGCAAAAAAACAATACAAGAACAACAAAATGACAATAAATTCATGTGCCGCGGGAACCAAAAACAATACTGTATCACTGCAATTTATGGAATATATTTTTAAATCATTCTGAAAGCTTGGTTAACTGTTTTGCATGTGGTATAACATGATGATCACATACATATAGCATTTTGTGGAAAAAATTATTACACTGGGAAACTACATAATCTATTTTGACCAACAAGACTAAAGCAACTGAAAATTGTGCCAAATTATGACAGTTGTATGAAACCATTTGCATATATATACTAAAGCTTTTGGAAATTTGTGTGAAGCAATGAGAAATGAGGTTCTGTTGTAGTGACATTGTGGTGTGGGGATTACACTTGTTTTGCAAATGTTAACTGTCATTTGAGAAATGCTCCAAAGCAATTGAGATAGACTGTAATAAGCACTCAGCTCATTATTTGGCACATGCTGTCACATTATATAAATGATTCTTACAATGTTGTGTAGGAATTATTAGGTCAAATAAATTTTAATATTCTCCACCAATATGTTTGAATTAATTAAAGTTTAATTAATTATTATTTAATGCTGATTATTAATCAATTGTTATGCCGAATGGTCGGCTCCTCCAAACTCAATTGCGGTATCCCTGTGAGTCTGTTAATGTGAGACTTAAATGGGATTCACTAATTACCAGTATCGCTTAGTAACCTGGGTTAGAAGGCCCGTCCAGCGTGCTGCATCACCAGGTAATGTAAACGATTGGTAGCGAAACTCCCCTCACGGCCAATGAG